TTATATATATTATATTATATACGTTTTACTGTAATTTTGTAATTCTATATAGTTTTCCTTTAGTATCCTGATGGCAGTGAGAGCTATTGGGACCCTCTCTTTTCATTATTGACTTGGCTTTGAAAGTGCAGGCTCTGTGGCTGGCATCCCTATTTTGCCTCACCAAAACCTAGAACAGGTATTTGCATATCATGTATCCTGATCCCTAATATGCACACGCTTATTCTAGGTCAGTGACTCACCAGGTAATAAAGGATAAATAAGTCTAACAGCACTAGATTTTGCACATTCAAACCCAGTCCCATATTGCTCTCCAGATAACTTAATTTTCCTGCAATTAACTAATGTAGATCCATGGGGAACCTGTGAAAACTGTACAGCCCCCATATTTGTAAGCTCTGTGGAAAGCAAGTTTATTGTTGTAGCTCATTTGAAGGCTTGTGACCTCAATTAATAACATTGTTTTATACCCTTTAAATTGTTGTAGGCCCATCAGCTTGCAAACATGCAAGCACAGGCCACCAATGGAACCCAGGTTTTGAATACCAGCACTACCAATGAAGAAGAGGAGGATGATGAAGATGATTATGACTATGACTATGAATCACTTTCAGATGGTATGAAGCTTTATTTTGTGCCAACTGACTTTAATGGTAACTTTAAACAAATTGCCTCTGCTTCTCTTCTTACTAGTAGAACTAACCAGTTTAGAGATGCCTCATTTAAATAATAAGTTTCTTTATTTAAAGCTGTCACTCTGTATAGATACTATGCAAACATTAAGGACAGCGTGCTTTCACTGGCTAAGAATAATGCTTTCTTTAGCAGGAAAGTCACAGTTGATTTCTAAACGTGTAAGTGGCACCTAAAAAGCAATAATGCAAATACGTTATGTCCTTATATACTAACAAACTAATGACACTGCATGAATCACAGCTTGTACGGTATTTCCATAGAGATCCATTCTACGGTATCTATATGTATGTAACAGATAACAGCTTCTAGCCATCATGTTTTCCTTTATCCTGTTAATTTCTGAATCATAATGACTTGTATTGCCTATTTATTCAACATTTCCTTCTCTGATTGCTTATTTGACTCTTTTCCTGTAGCTGATGTCCTTAATGCTTCCCCTGCGCCTAACAGCCAGGAAGGTAAAAGCCATTTCGATGGATGTTCTAACTGCATGGATTTATAACACTCATCCCCTGTTAATTAAGCTCTCTGTTCACAGAAATACAATTGTTGCCTTGTGTGTATATATTTCCTTGTGTGCTTATATTTCTGGTGTACAATATTATTGTTGTGATATGTAGGCTCTAGCTCCTCTTTTCATTTTTGGTACATATCACAGCTCAAGAAACACTCTATGATAAATGTAACACCAGCGACTGTTGCTTGCTCACGTGATGCATGTCAGGTCTGTATTGCAGAACTGGTTGCTTAGCAGGAGAAAAATTAGCCCGCTATATGTTAGATTTTCAGCTCCATATTGTGAGGAGAATTTGCTGTTGGAAATGAGTGCGCCTCATGAGCTGCTAACAGTGCATGTCTTCAGTTATCTTTACATAATCCAAAACCACTGGTGATGTTATTTTCTCATGTGGATCTCTGGAATTGTTAATATACCTGTGGTGTTACCACAAAGTATGAAAATAGTTGTGCCGAGTTGGTAAACATTATTGCAAGTGATTGATAACATCTGCAGTTTTGTCCCAATCTGATTTGTGTTCTTTTTTTTTGCGTTTGCTCGTTGCATTTGTATGGTGTAAAAGCATGTTACGTTTGCCTGCTGGCTCTATGGCGTTGGCTACTCTCATTGCAATTGCTCTTCCCCCAATGTGCATACGTATGTCTATGGCTTGATTGTGCCCCCAGCTGTCTGTGGCTTGGTGATAATCTTTGTTGTGGCTTTAGTGATAATCATATTCATTGGGGAAGTGTATCAAAATCATTAATGGGTTTTAGGAGGAAACTAAGTATACATTTTAAGTTATTGGAACATTTACTTGAAAGCCATTTTGATGTAATTTTCACATTTACGTTAGTCCCATGCTGTTCCATATTATTCAAAATTGCAAAAGTGCCCTTTGATTTTCATCTGTATATCGGGAAATGTAATTAAGGCCCCATGCTTCCTGACTGCATTGAGAGAGAAAATATTCACAATCATGGTGCGATACTACTAAGCAGAGCAAATATGGCTGCCCCTTTGTACATAAATATACACAAAATACACACAGAAACATTGGAATTGAAATCATATGCACTTATTGCTAAGATTACATTAAGCCTGATCACATTCACAGATATAGCTAACAAAACTGTAAATAGGTGATAGAAGACATAGTTTCCTTTACAAAGGTTTGTGAAGATTGTGTGTCCACGGGAAATCATTGCTGCCGACCAGCACAGTGATATTTTCAGGTCCAGCGTGTCTTTGTGCAGTGGAGAACTCCCGACATTAATCTTACTTTGGACAACATATCTCACATAGGCAAGAAAAAAAATGATCTCTAAGATTTCTTTAACTATGGTACATTATATCCCTTTGACATATACACTTCAGTTGTGCATACAGTACCTAGGATAATAACTGGCCCAAGTAGGCTGTCCTCAGCTTTCAACTCTCAATGATGTCCGCTGTGCTATTGAGTGGCTTTCTTTATCTGTGAATGTGTTAATTCACAGGTGTGTAATTCACACAACCTATTCAGTTTTCCCTTGCATGCTGCATTACCTGTACTGTACTGGATGTCCCTTTTCTGTCAAACTCAATCGTGAAGAGGGATGGACAAATCTGTTGTAGATTGGGCTGTACACAGCTGAAAATAAACAGCGTCAGCCACCAAAGTTTGTTTGTGGACAGTTTTAATATCATAACAGAGGTTGAAATCATTGCTGTATATGCCCAGAATTTAAAATAGTATTAAACTCACAAACTTTTTTTCAATAATGAATCCAGATCAATGAAATGTACATTGCCCAGCAACGTAATTACTTACATTTTTGCTTTAGCACTCAAAGTCATCATGTTTCTGAATAGCTGGTTCCAGCTATCTCAGCTTGGCTTCCCTGAACGTCCTGTCATGTACAACGTTACAAGAAACAATACTTTCTGCAGCAGCTGTTCATCTACTAGCTTAGGGAAAGGAGGAGAAAAGTGTTGTGGCTTGCCTTGCTGTGCCTGTGTGTTTGTGGAGCTTAATTACCCACACAAGCGTGGCTCCATAGGAACGTGCAAGGGAAAGGAGCCACCCTAAAACAGGATACAAGGACCCCAGTGCTCAGGGGATCAGTTGATTCTTCAGGAAACGAAAACAAGAAGTAGCATCCATTACAATTGATGTTATCAGCATTTAAAAATCGCTTAAAAACATTTTGACTTTAATATCACTTTAAAGTGTATTTCCACTTTTTGTAGTGAAATTTCAGAAAACTCCTCTATATGTTTGTTAAGTGTTCCTATTCACACAGCATACCGAACAATAGTTTTTACAATAATATTTCTTACCATTTAGATGTTTTGTTGTACCAGGCAACATTGCTGATTCCAGGTTTTTCTGAGCACCTTCAGTGATCTGTCATAATTGTGTTTCTCTCATTAACTTCATTAACACCAAATCTATAATCCCACCAGCGCCAGATCCATCACGTCTTTAGGAATGCAGGAACAAACAGCTTTCACAAGTAGGCAGCACCTGGACAGTCAGGGTAAATGGAGATCTGATAGATGTACATCTATTAGATCTAGATACAGACCCTGTAAGGAGGGGGTCCTCTTGGAGTATCCTCCAATGTTTTTTTCAGGATGCCCGAAATCTTAAAACCCTCATCATTAAATTGGGTACAGAAGCTGATTTTATAGAACTCGTTGGCATCTTTATTCTTCTTAGGGATTGGGACCAGATGTTTACAAAGTGCTTCATCTATAAGACCCAGATCATATCTTTATCAAGAAACCTCTTTCTTAGGATTTCACCCTGTGTCTGATAGTCAGAATCTAATGTGCAGATTCTCCTCAGTCTTCCAAATTGTCCATCAGGAACATTTTGGATCCATCTGGGGTGGTGGTTACTCTCTGCATGTAAATACGGGTTACCAGCTGATGGATTAAAATGGATCTTGGAAACTCTACGGCCCCCCTCATCTACTCACAGCTCAAAGTTTAGATATCTGAGTTCCATTCCAAAAGCCTGCTTCACTGATGTAATACCAATCATGGACATTACTCCGCCCCGTCCTCTGATTGGTTGAGGGGCGGGCCCTACACTGCCCATCTGCTCCTGCTGCTTTGACTGCCTGCCCACTCCTGCTACTCTGAGAGCGGACCCAGGGCGGGTTACATAGCCGCCTGCCCAGTTCAAATTAGACTGTCTTAGATGGCGGTCATGTGACATCCTAGAGGACACTCCCCTTGATCGGATGATCCAAGTGACCGGTCCCCGATTGGATACTATACGAGATATGACACGCAGGGTAGAAGACTGCTATGTTCTGATGAAGGGGGCATGTCACCCAAAAACGGGTTAAACTAGAAGCTGACATGCAGTTTGAAGGACCTGTGCTCCCGTCTGTATAGTGCAAGCCGTGCTGTTCAGAGGCTTTTGCCTGTGCTGTCAAGACTTTTTATATCAAGGCTCCCTATAGGCTGCTTTTTTTGTGAGTACATTTTTGCCTTTTTTTTTTTTCCTTTTAATTATTAAACACTTCCACACAAGGGAGGAGCACTGTGTTTGTGTTCCCTATCTAACTTCATTAACATTTCAATGCACAAGTCAGGGCTGTACTCTTTTAACTTCTCACTCCACAGAGCCCCTCCTAACATTACAAATAAGTAAAAACAAGTAGAGATTTCAACCCTTAAGAAGCAAAGAAATCCTAACCGAAGTAAAAGCATGTTTAAACTGTAGCAAGCATTTGTAAATATTTTTTTTGCTTATGTTATGTGAATGGGAACATGTAACAAATATAATATAGGTAAAAAACCTGGCACTTGCAAGGGGATCCGTCCATCCAGTACTTATTTGTAAAAAGGCATGACAGCAGCAAACAAACAAATGTTGACATGTTTCAGCCCCCAAACCCGGCCTTAGTCGTAGGCATTGGGGCTGAAACATGTAAACATTTGTTTGTTTGCTGCTGTTATGCCTTTTTACAAATAAAGTACTGGATGGATGGATGCCCTTGCGAGTGACGATTTTTTACCTATTGCTCAGTGAAGGCTCCGGTGGAAGCTTTACCAGGCACCGAGGTTCAAGCAGGGATTGGAGACAAGAGGGTAGAGCTGCTCAGTTGTTTCTAAACTGCTACAAATATAATATAGGTATTTTCCAAATTTGGCAGTGAAAGTGGGAAGCTCCGACCATCGTTTATCTGCCGGTATTGTAGTTTGCTAATATACAAAGGTAAGTGCATTTTTTTTTGTTTGCAGCTTTTATTTGGCTGGTGCTCGAAAATGAAAGTTATAACTGTTTAGAGGTTTTGTTTTTACACCCAGATAACAAATTATAGGTGCTGTGTTTTGATCCATCAAGAGAATTGCTGTTCTTACCTTGTCATTCATATAATTACAGATAATATTCTGGATGATCGCCCTGAAAGTAAACCATGCAGTGACAAACTGCAATTTGAGTATAATGAGGAGGGGCCCAAGCGGATCAAGAAGACTGATGGCAACAGTGTTAACAACAAAGGAAAGGTAGTTATTTTTTTGGATTAAATCATGACAATAAATAACGGTTATATGCTGCATTTTGTTTTTAAAAAAAAGAGTGTTTGTCAAGGAAAAATTAAAAACATTTCCACATGTGTTATCCCTTAAAGACCACGCACGTACAGAAAAATACTTGTTAATCTGCTAAAAATGCACTTTCTTTCTTTTGTTGGCTAACAACATACAACATTTTTGTGGACTATGTTGTGTCAGCTCTGCCCATTGTCATCTGCTAAACTACATAACCACTCCCACTCTCACATCTCCACAACATAAAGATAACCATTCTGTTCCCTACCCCTATATCAGGAGTAGGCAACCTAGGCACACCAGCTGTGGTGAGTTGCAAGGCATTGCAATCCAAGGTGGCCTACCCCCTGTGCTAGATGAAAACTAGGAGGGCTCTTTGAGTTTACACCAGTGAGCAGAGGACACAAGACAACTCTGAATATTCTAACAGGATCAAAGATCCTGTTGTTTCAACGTTTGTTGTTTGGGTTTACATACACTTAAATGTTATCTTGTTGCTAGTTTTCTGCACCTCCTGGATAGAGCAAGTCTGCCAGTTATAACCACATGTAGCCAGAGGTTTTTTTAGCTGTTGAGGCACAGAGTGGGCCAACAGTTATCTGTGTTTTTTTTCCTCCACTTTGAAAGAAAGGAGCCAAGGGAGACTAAATTCTTAGAACACTGATTTGTCATGTGATCACATTAAAACGACAGTGTCGACTAGATGGGGACTGATACATGATGACTATGGCTGTAGTAGCCTAGTTACAGCACTGTTGAATTTAAATAATGTTCCTACATCAGCTGTTAAGCGCTTACTTCACAAGCTCGATAATCAATGGTTGTTACAGGAAAAATACAGTTTGTATACACTTTGCCTCAACCCAGCCTCTTGTACTCAAAGGTTACATTTTTAACCTCATGGCATCATTAATATGAAACTCATCATTTATATTGTTATAAAGGTAAAGAATAGCACTAAAAGAAGCAAATTATATCAAGCTTAGCAAGACAGACCAACTCTTTTAGAACGTCCTTTTACTGCCCCTTTTCATGCAATAAAGAAAACTGATAAGCTTGCAGTTTAATTTGACCATAAAGAAAGGAGCTGAGAGCTGAGTTGTTGAAACTTGCCGAAAAATGATCATCATTATTCCAGTGAGACTGCCTGAATCATCTTTGGAGATGCACTTAAAAGTGAGTCTGTCACCTGACATTTATGTAATACTGCACATATAGGTCTATGATATGGAACTGGACGAAGAGTTTTACCTCCCTCAGAACAAGAAAGAAAGTAGACAAATTGCACCAGAACTATCAGACCTTATCATCTATTGCCAAGCTGTGAAGTTTCCTGGTAAGTAAAATCATCTATCTTGTCATTCTCTGGCAGCCTCCTCAATGTTGACTGGAGAGTGCTCTATACCTGGCTATATGCCAAATCAATAAATACTTGCTCTGAACATCTTCTTTTGAAGTAGAAGAAAGTTTAGATTAGATTCACATTTAGGTAAGGGCACTTTTTATTAGCCTTTTGTATAAATAAACTGCTACATAACAACACCAAAGACAAACAACAAAAGAGCAATTAATGTCCAAAGCAGCTATTCAAGAATAAATACACAATGAGAGCATCCAAATATACAGATCTTGTAGTAACATGGGAAAAACTGTTGGACATAATCTCATCATGTTAATAGTCATGTTTTTTATAACAAAATTGAGCAGTCAATAGTATAAATAATAAACATGTTTAAACAATGTTTATGGCAAGACCAAATGATTACCAGTTTTTACTATGAATACATGGCATTATTGTTTATGCAATTGTATTCCTTACAATAATCGGGGAGCTGATAAAATTTTTATGTTGATTAGTAGGAATGCACCGATACTGGTGCCTAAACTGGGCATTTGGGCGAGTACTTGTACTTGCCCAAATGCTCCGATACTTCCCCCTGATACAGGAACTGCTGGTCAGAGGGAGCTTCCCTCTCACCGGCAGTGCCGCGAGGGTGCATGGAACCGCTTCCCAGCCAATCAGAAAGCAGGGCAGAGGGTCATGACCTGCCTCCCGGCTTCCTGATTGGCTGGGAAGCCAGATTCACACTGCCTGGTGACTCTGCGGGGCAGCCTAGCTTCCTGACCATTCAGGAAGCCGGGCGGCCTGATTGGCCGGGAAGCCGAGCCCACGCTACCTTGGGATGCTGGTATCGGTACTCGGTATTAATCATATATCAGGTGACAGCTTGTAGGGGTGGCAGAAAAGAGGTTTGCACCTTGCCTTTACTAGCCCCCTGCTCCTGCACGCAATAATGTAAGTTGCAGCTATGATAGTGAAAAGGTGGAGCTTAATGCTAGCGTGTGGTGTCAAAAGTGTTTTTTTCCCAACTGGGTGAAAGACTGGGATGTTCTTGGATGAATTACAATGGGTGCATTATAGATATCTTTTTTTTATTTAAGTCATGTAGTAAAAGCATAGAGGTGGGTGAGTAAGAGAGGATGATCAAAGTGTATCTTACGGAATATTTGTAATCCTTGAATTTTTACATCCTTGCAAAGTCAAGTGATTTAAAATGGAGAAAAAAAAACTGATTAAATATATTTTATTTAACATCCATTACACACTTAAATATGTTTAGAATTGAGCCTATGGGAAGATGCACTCCCCTCCCACATATACAATTCTCTGAATATTAATTGATATGTACTTCCAAATCTCAGTTATATTAAAGTGATCACAACATATTTCCCTTGCTCAGTGTATTCTTGTGTCAAGTTAGTATTTTTCTTGGACTGGTGAAGATGTAAACTTCATGGAGAAGATATGGATGGGAGATTAGTGATGTAGTGTTGCACAGGACAGGCTGGTTCAGTTCCATAAAAAATCATCTAAAAAGGCCACGGAAAATGTCATGCCCTCTTGGTCTGCTTGCTTGGTTCATTAGTCTTAATTTTATGGGAACAGGCCTTTCGACGTTAAACCCATGTGGATCTGGCAGAGGAAAGGAAAGAAAAAGCAGGAAGTCAATTTTTGGCAACAATCCTGGTAGAACAAGCCCCGGGGAAACAACAACACTGGCCAAAACATCTGGAAGAGGTAATTGCTGTATATTCCATTCTGCTCTAATATTGGGGAAGTGGCTGTATTCCGTGACGCATTATATGTCTTTTTGATGTTGTATTCCATTACAGCATAGGTCTTTTAAAAGGGCTATCCACCAAAGTGAAATATTCATCTAACATAACCTTTAGGGGCTGGTTTTGTTATATGCCCTGAAACAGTATGTGTGCAGAGACAGCTAAGGGCTGTTGAGGCTGTAATTAACTTAGTAACCAGCTACTTAAGAAAAAAGTGTAAATGGGGAGATTCCACAGAACAATTACTTACAGAACTATATGGGTTTTGCAAGGCACTGGTGTGGGTAAAGGGATGTACCTTCATTCATCTTCTAGAAAATTAATATTTTGCTTGCAGGTACAGCCGACACACGGCAGAGCTGGGAGGAGCCATGTTCACCACCATATAACCCAAGCACTTCACTGAGTGCCATTATCCGGACCCCTAGGTGCTACCACATCTCATCACTGAATGAAAACGCTGCTAAACGTCTATGTAGACGTTATTCACAGAAGTTGATTCAACACACTGCCTACCAACTATTGAGAACATATCCAGCTGCTACACGCATCGACTCTTCAAATCCACATCCTCTCATATTTTGGCTTCATGGAATACAGTTGGTTGCCCTAAACTACCAAACGGATGGTAAGTGAGTTATTGTATGATCAGTTGTAATATTGCATTTATTTCATGTTGAAAGTAAGTATTTTAGGCAGACCAATAAAGACCTACGGGTTTATTTACAAAAAGGTGAAGAGTTTGGAGAAGGCAGGGGAAGTGAACATTCTAGGCCAAAATAGCTGATTTGGAAAAATTCTCCAATTCAGCTCACTTTCCAGATCAGCTATGTTGTCCTAGATTGTTCACTTCTCCTGCCTTCCCCAAACTCTTCACCTTTTTGTGAATAACCCTGCCAGTGTTTTGCGAAAAATTCTTCCAAATAGAAGAGTGAACACACAGAGGATGGAGAGTTGATTTTCTCTTTGACTCTAATGCAACATGTTTTCCCCGTTGTGGCTTCATCAGGTATACTTCCCTAGGAACCAACCAAATTCTCTTTTAAATATCAGGTCATGTAGGCGTTTACTCCTCTTGGTTGAGTGGTTGAGAGCATATGAACCACTTACTGTTGTGTACACAAACTAGTTCAGATCGGGTTTCTGTAGGTCCCATTCATTCTGCAATCTAAATGAGCAAAGGCAGATCTCTGACTAGCTATTGCAGTGTGTGAGAGATCTGCCCAGCTACCACAAACACTAAGCTGTGCAGAATTCTAAGCTTCTATGCACCATATCTTTGACATAGTCTGGGTGGTCAGAGAACTAATAAATATGTCCTGAATTGTAAGTAGTCACACTGGGCAGTTGTAAATGTTCTTTCCATGAACAAAGTATGAGGTCGCACAGGGTTGTTTTACTAGCATTGAAAGAAGATGCCTGTGTACAGTAGAGGCAAGCACATGTGATTTGCCTCTACTGTTAATCCTATGTTTCAATACTTACCTCCAACACTTCAAAATCTTCTTTTTTTTTAAGCTGCTATTTATGATGGAGAAGGGGGCCCTGATATAGAAGGTGACTTTGCTGTAAAGTCTGCTTTAAACCTTTTTGGAAGTCTTTCACCTGCTGGTCTGCACAGTACTTGTTAGCAGTACATGTTAGTTCTTATGGGTTAGTGATTCTACCATTAACATATTCTGGTGACAGGTTTCAGAGGTGTTTGTGTCATCGGAGAAAACTCCATGAACTGCAGAGCACCTGCAAACTTTGTCAAACATATTTCTTGCACCTTTCTGCTTTTTTTTCCCCCCGAATGTAAACCAGTTGTCTGTGGAAAGTTTATTTTTAAACTACGTTTGCTGTAAAATAAAACACACCAAGAATAGCAGTTTTTAGATTTTTTTTATGTTAATTCGCACAGTTTCATCAGGTTTGCTGAAATTCTAGACAGTGATCTTAAAATGACATTTTAGAAAGTGCTAGAGGTGTTGTTAACAATGTAAATGTATGTTTTAATAGAAATGTTGAACCTTCTAAATTAGAATTTCTCACAATTGTTTTTATTGCGTGACTCAATTGAAGTCACAATCTTAATTTGAGGTGGAGTTGCTGCCTTTTCCCAGGGTTTAGTTATTTATGCATGATTTCATGACATGTGCTCAAAGCTCTTGTTACAGAATATAGCTAACCTCTGTATATGTCCACATCTGGCCTAACTGTGCGAACTCTGAATGTTAGCTTTGATCCTCATTCCTGACATTCCCTGAAAACTAAGATTGTTCTCACTGGTTGTTTACAATAAAATGATTTTACTATGATTTTTCCTCGTAATGTAAACATTAGTGCTCTTACTGTTGTATAATTACAGATTAAATAAGAGTGTCCAAATTTCCTTTACAAGTTTGCAGTCCTAAATGTAAACAGTTTAACATGTACCTAATTCCTCTGTGTTTTATGTCAATTATATTACAATACTTGATAACCGATCAGATAACCATATACACCAATTTTTACTGCAGCACCTTGTAAAGTATGACGTGTGATTTTTAAGGTAATGCTGCAGGTAATGCTGCACATCATTTTGGATGATATGTTAGTTTAGATCAATGTCGAACCTTTTTGAACCCGAGTGCCCAAACTGCGACGCAAAATCAATTTATTTATCTCAAAGTGCCAGCGCTGAAAATAAGTTTGGTATTGCAGTTTGGGCGCTTGGGTTTAAGAAACGTTCAACATCACTGCCTAGCGGCCTTGTACGGCTCTCACGGGGGACCTGAACGTCCCGGATCGCCTCTGTAGTCGGGCCGGTCACAATCAGGCAGCGGCGGTGACCTCTAAACAGGCAGATTAGACGGCCGCTTGCGGGGGCCTCACTGGGTCCTAGCGAGGAGGAAGCAGCCGTCTAACCTACCTGTTTATTGGCTGCCGCTGCCTAATTGTGACTGGCCCGGATCGCATACCAAGGCGATCCGGGTCAGTCGGATCTATTTCAATTGGTGGTCCCTGAACGCAGTGGTGTATTCTGGTTTGGGGCTGCCCTAGGCAAGGCAAAAC